CTAATATTCAAACCGTTGGACCATTCTCTGCGTCATCCCCCTAGAGATTCATAAAATGGATTACATAGCGTAAATTACACCGTTCTTTGTGCGATGACCTTTGCGAGATATGATGTTCGCGAGGAATGATCCTTGGAAGGTATAAATCTTGTGACATTTGAACCTTGCGACGTTTGACCCTCGTGACGTGTGACTCGTGACATTTGGTCCGCGCGAGTTATGACTGTTGTGATGCTACTCTGTTAGAAATTTTTTAAAATTTCATGGATAATATTATCGTTAATCTCATGAGAGTGACATTGTATCGGATTTAGGGAAAAAATGGTTATGAAATTTCAAGTTTAAGGGTGCCAAGTGAATTTGAAAAAAGATTCAAAACAAATTTTTTCTTTCCCTCCATCATTGGAGAAATATGTATTCATCCATCCGACGAAATTTCAAACCCGCAACCGGAACTAGAAATCGAGAAAATAAAGGCGGAAAATCCTCTATTTCGCGTGACGAACCTCGAGAAAGCATGGGATCAAATGGGTACGGCGGGTTGAAATATCTCTCTTATTCACCCCGGTACCCCATTGTTTTTTGTCGCCATCACATTGAACACATCATTCCCCATAGCTTCAAATTTTTTCAAATTTTTCTTGAGATTCTAGGGGGTTGAAACGTTCAATTTAATCAAAACTCCATAAGAGGCCGTATATAAGACTGATTTTGTTTATTTAATTTCTCGATATCCATAAGTTCTAAAATTTTAAAGTTGTCTCCGATGTTTACCATCTGTCTAATACTATTAATTAAAAAAATTATAACTTTGTTGTCAATTTTCAAGGTCATCACCAAATTCACTTGGCACCCTTAAAGCAGAATTCACGGAAATTCATGAGTTTTCAGTGGGAGTCAGATGAAAATTTCACAATTTGATTGAATTTTCAGTGGAACATGAATATTCAGAAACAAAATGACATGAATTTTTAATTTTTCCCTGAATTTTCCTGATTTTTCCGAATTTTCACGGAATAAATGAACTGAAAAATCCAGTATTTTATTGATTTCCACATCGTTTGAGCCGAAAATCAATGGAATATTAGATTTTTCAATGACAAGATTTCCTGGAATCCCGGAAAAAATAGACCATGGAAAAAATAGACCAAGGGAAATTTTTAAGTTGGGTGGGTTTTAGCACATTTTGGGTGTGTGGGATATTTTTTCCTGGTCTATTTTTTCCGCCGATTTCCTGAAGTTTCACGGAAACTTGGACACGATAAAAATTCCCGGAATTTAGCATGGAAAATTCAGACTAAAATTTTTAACAGTGCATGAGGTTTTTGACTTCTTCTGACATCCTTACGTATAACAACGTCATGTCGAAACTGCCATTAACGACAGATGGCCTACTTTGACCCCGAAATCATGATTCTTCGAGTGATTTCTTAAAATCAAGAAACTATCAGAGTCTGCTAGAAATCCTGGAAATCACGAGAAACCCTGATTTCCAATTCTTATTACGAAATCACAGGAAATCATCAAAATTTCAGGAAATCTTGTCATTGAAAATTCAAATATTCCATTAATTTTCTGTTCGAACGATCTGAAAATCATTAAAATACTTGATTTTTCAGTGCAATTATTCCGTGAAAACTCGGAAAAATCGGGAAAATTCAGGGAAAAATTGAAAATTCATGTAATTTTGTTTCTGAATATTCATGTTCCATTGAAAATTTAATCTAGTTGTGAAATGTTCACCTCACTGCCACTGAAAACTGATGAAATTCCTTGAATTCCACCTAAAATTTGAAATTTCATAACCATTTTGCCCCTAAACCGGATTCAATGCCAATCAAGAAATTATCAGAGTCTACTAGAAGTCCTGACAATCACGAGCAACCCTGATTCCCAATTCTTATTACGAAATCACAGGAAATCAGCCCCTCGCCCACAACCATCATTTATACGATCTCCCTCCCAAAACCTGAAAGATTCGTTAAAAAATCGGTTCCATCGACTATTGACTTATGCATTGAAACATAAAAGATGTATCGACACTCATTCCATTATCGAGTATAGTCTCTGGGGCATGAAACTGTATCACTTCCCCTTCGTACATCGCACGAAGCGCGCGAACGGGAGGAAAAGAGACAGTGAAATTGTGGACATATGTGTAATTCATGTGGAAACGTACCGAATACTCACATGTTCGATCTGTTTGATACCCGCGAACACGCAAAACTAAACAGGTTGAAATGGTAGGGATGGGTACGATGGACTCGGGCCACTCCGGACCCATTCGGGCCCCTCTCGTCCACTCTGCCCACCTCTCCACACAAGTGGACGAGCAGACTGGTTGTTAGTTACCAGTGAACTTACAACGCCCGCTTTCTTATTTCTACTCTTGCAGTTTTATTTATTCTCCCCCAACTTCATCATTCAAAAAATGATTTTTTACTGTTATCAGTGGTGATAGTGACAATTGAGAATGCACAGTGTCTCATGGTGATAATGACAGGCTGAATGGGCCGATTGAGTGAACTGCAGGGTGATTGGAGCGTCTCCACGGTAATGAAGGTGTGCAACAGACACCTGTTTCACTATTGCTTTTATGCCATTTGAATGTCAACGCAACGAGAAAATTAAATTATTGGAAATTGTCAGGACTTCTGGTTCAATTATGACGTCTGTTGTTACTCTCACATACTCTCATGAATAGTTTCTATGAATTTCGATAAGCCACTGGGTGTTTCATAATTTATGGAATATATTCTGTACAGAGGATATTTTTTTCAATTTATTCAGCATTGAGTGTCCTACCCTTTTTGCTCTACACTTCTTGGCTTTATCCGAATAGAGGGGATGAATTGAAGAATATGAGAGACGAGAAAAAAATCAAGTTCCATCAGTGGTGAATTGGCCTTAACGAGAAGGGAGGGAAAGAATTGTCTCTTTACGAGTGCAATCTCAGCTATCTGTAGCTCGACCGTTCTTCTCTTTTATTATTCGAATAAATATGACAAACACGAAATAGGCTTTATAGGCAGAAACGAATAATTCGCGTTTGTTTTTATCGTGAGATATGAGACAGTGGAGGGTTCATCCTGTTTATTAAGCCTCTCCGGAAATAAAAGAAGGAAAACGTAGTGCGTTTCGACCGGTGAATGAACACAGAGAGTGGGCTGTTTTTTTACAGTTGCATTAATATGATGGATAACGCAGGTGGTTCTGAATTGCGGTGGGGGAGGAAGGACGAAAACCGGGAGGGAATGGGGATCCAACTGTTGTCGTTCTGTATTGTCGTTCAAAAAGAGTTTAGCCGCTCGCTAAGCCGCACCTCCTCAAGACAATTCATTTTCCCTCATGAAAGTTGAATTTCGTTTTAATTGAAACACACCAACGGTATCCACGGTGAGAACGAAGTAATAGTGATTAATCTGAACTTTTTGAGTGAAACAATTCAGCCTTGAATATCAGTGCCAGGGCGAGTATTTACGCCGGTGAAAATTAAGCGTTGAAATTGAATGAACAACTCGGGAAAAAGAAAAGTGTAGAAAGTTGGTAACGAGACAACAATGGGAGGATGTTGAATTTCACGTAGATAAAAGTATGTGGTTTTCCTTTTCTGTTTTATCTCACGTTACCTCAATTGAACATAAAAATGCCAACTTTTCTCACGTTCGCAAGTTCATTAATTTGTAATATTAGATTAAAGCGTTGAGTGTGAGAAAAAAAAATGAACTGAAGTACGGGAAAATTGTTGCGGTGGCTTTTCAAGCCAGTAGTTTTGTATTTCCCAAAGGTTTGGTTGGGTTTGTTCTGGGGG